GGGGGGCCCGAAGGCCGCGAGGCCGCGGCGCGGAGGGGGTCTCTGAGGAGGTCTGAGAGGATCCGGCAAGGAACCTGAGGCAGCGGCCGGGGATCAAGGCGGGCTGGGCTGCCCGAGCGGCAGGTGAGGGGGGGCGCCTCAGAGGAGCATCTGGCGAGTGTCGGGAATCCAGACCCGACGAGACGCCCCCAGAGCGTCGGTCCCTTGGGAGGCCCCGAGCACAGCCGTGGCTCTGGGCGGATTTCGGGCTGTGGAGAATTGCCCTGCCCGCCTCTCGTAAATGCTCAAGGACAAGGTCGGGAATAGACCCCCTAAAGTCCAAGGGAGGTAAGTCTTCCTCTTCCAGGAAACCTCTCGGCGCTGCCCCAGGACCCAGGCCAGCTCCAGCCTCCCCACCCTCGCTCCGCAGGTAACGCACACCTGCTGCCTCATGGCCTCACCCACCCTGGCCGTTGGCCCTCAACATGCCCGGCCCCTCGTGCTCCTCTGACCCGCCGACGCCTTTCCTCTGCCAGGGGGGCCCGTGCCCCTCCCGTCCCGTCCTTTGGCCTGAGTAACTCTCCTGAGGTGTTCGGGTCCTTCTCCTCCCTGGAACCTTGCCCCGCAGACACGCCCCCCCCCCCCCCCCCCGCCCGGCTCGGTGACGGTGGCGCTCCCTCTGCTCTGCTCGGGCAGATTCCTTCCCTCAGAGGGCATTTTCTTAACTTCGAGTGCCTTCTCCAGCCGACGTCGCCGAAGTGGGCCCTCCCAGTTTTCAGTCCCTGGCCTCTTCTAGAATGCTCCAGCAGCCCCCAACTACGTTCCCGTCTTTATCCTTTCACCTCTCAAACCCACATCCTCACTGGCCACTGGAGAGGTCTTACCAACACTGCCCGCTGTGCCCCTCGGTGTCCAACTCCCTCTCTCCCCTCCCAGGAACTCTCTCCACTGCCTGGAGCTCTCCATCTCTCCCTGCAAGGAGGGGGACTGGGGCAGGGGAAGAGGAGAAAGATAGGAGGTGGGACTCTGGCCCCCCCGGAGGCAGAAAAGAGGGTTCAACTGCTAGGATAAAACACAAAAGGGACCCTGCATACGAGATGCAAGGCCCTTGGGCACCTCACCTCACCCTTTGTGCTTCAGCAGTACTGGATGAGAGTGTAAGCGTCATGAGGACAGGGACCTGGCCTGTTCGCTGCTCTGTCCCTGGAGCCTGGCTCAGGCCTGGCCCATCACAGACATTTACTATCTGTTGAATAAATATATGCCTGACCAGCTGGTGATTCTTCCCTTATGCTGTGCTATTTCTCATCTGTGCCCTTACTCATCTCATGCTGTTTTCTCTACTTACAATAGTCTTTTCTTTACTTTTTGGGTAATGCCTACAACTCCTCCTCTTTGAAGTCTTCCCTGCACCCCAGGCTGAACTCTTGAGACGTATCAGCAATCTCTGCATAGGTCTACTCTTCCACACACACTGTGTGTAATTACCCAGGTAACATCTCTCCCCCGCTAGACTGGGAGCACCAGACAAACATGGTCTCTGCTCTTCTGGTGCTTATACTCTTGTTGCTGGAGCATGAAGGATGGGAAGTGTACCAGGAGATGAGGCTGAAGAGATGAATCACACGCTAGATCCAGGCCTGAAGTAGAATGTTTAGAGCACCGCTGTCCAATAGAACTTTCCGCCATGATGGAGGCATTCTGTAATATGTGCTGTCTGGTACCGTAGCCACCAGCCCTCTGTGGTTACTGAGCCCTTGAAATATCGCCACTGCAACTAAGGAAATGAATTTTTAATTTTATTTAACTTTAACTTAAATTTAAACAGCCACGTATGACTACTGTTTACAACATTAGACAACACTGGTTTAGAAAATTTCTCTCTCCCTCTCAGTTCTCCCTCTTACCACCCCCTCCTTTGTCTTCATGACCTTACACCTGAAAGACTAAATGACTTCTTGGCCTCCTGAGGTTTTTTTTTTGTCTATTTAACACTCTGTGATAATATTATATTAACCTTAGAAATCATGATTACTATTTTTCTGATTATAGAAATAATTTATGTTTGTTGGAAGACAGTGTATTTTTCCCATCCCTTACTACTGTACTTGGAATTTATGACCAGTTTTTCACTCGTACTAAAGACATGTTGAATCCATGTGCATTAGTCTGTGCATGAAGGGGTAATCATCTCTTTAAGATTAAATTCGTAGACGTCATG